ACCGCATGTTGCCGGATGCTGAGATTGTATGGGGTACTGTAAGCAATGCTTTTTGCAAAGACAGAGAATGTTATTCATCATAGTTGTCTGTGGTGGGCAATTTGGTTGCTTTTCAGAAGACTCACTGTAACACAGGACCCCTGCCAATGTAAAGAACTGGTCAAAGCATTGTGCTTTTCAAAGTTGAAGGATTTCTTTTTTCCTTCTGTCTCCTTCTGAAAATGTACCAAACTATGGGAATTCACAGTGATCTCCATTGCTGCAAAAATCAGCAATTAAGAATCTTCTGATTCTTGCACACTTCCATCACAGAGAATAATATACAATGTAAAGATTCACAGCCCTTTGAGGAAGCATCATAATCTTCAGACCTGACCTTCTGAATTATATAGGCCAAAGCACTTCACTTAGTGGTCACTGCCTCAAGCCCAGATCTTGTGGCTGAACTGTAGCAAGTCATTCAGAAAGACATTCATCTTGATTTACGGGTAGCAGTCTTGATGTGAGAATGCACACAAAGCAATTACTGTCTTGAGCTTTATGCGATGAATTGCAAAGTTAAGCTTGTTCATGGGTCTGAAATGCCTGTAACCCAGCAAGATTCCCTCTCCAATTCCAGGCGGAAACTGTGTAGGTGGCTTATAAAACTTCCTTTCTACAGTGACCCCAAATCTAAGCAAATGGTCAGAATCATTTGTGTTGCTTCAGTTTTTATCCAGGCCATCTAGCTAGCCATGAAAAAACCTACATTCAATTCTTCAGTCTATGCCATAGCTAAGATGAACTTGCGGAAAGATTGTTATTTACTCAGATTCTTTCTCTACTGAGAGATGTAATACCATTTTTCAGTGCATTAATTGCTTATGGTTCTCATGCCATGGTTTTTAAATCCTAAGCGCTAATATCTACCAGATAACATGCGCATCCAGTAGCCTTTCCCTATAGAAATTCTAAAAGAGGTGGGTGAAATTCTGATCCCAGTAAAGTTAAAAGGAGTTTTGCCAGAGCCTGTAGCCAGTACCAATTCCAGTACCAATGGAGGTACCACCTCCAGCACCAAGGGGAGAAAATGAACCCTTTTACTTGCTTAAGGAAGTTTTCTGTTACCATGACCATAACTCCCTGGCAAATACAAGCTTTGAAACATCCCAGTTTTATGTAGGGGAGGCTATGTAAGTCTGCATCTCAGTACAGCCCAAGGACCTGCCTGTTGCTGTGTATGTGCATGTGCCTGAGTCTAGCAACATCTACTCACACTGCTATCTATCTGTTGTGGTTCCAATGCAATATAAGATATAAAACACCCATGTGTAACACTGCCTGTAACAGACTACTACTACTGCAATGACGTTAACTGTTCATATTTTAGTGCCAGCAACTGAAATAAGGACCTCGCCATACAAGTATTTGACTGACAAGTGCTTAATGGACAGTACCCATAAGACTAAAAAAAGAACTAGACAAGGCAGGGAAACAGAAGACTGAGAAAGAAGAATTGATTTACTGATGGCCACACAGCAGAGAGCTACAACAATTAGGAACTGGACAAGACAGATCAGAGAATTAAGTCAGCCCTCCACTATTTCTGAACAAATATTAATCATTCAAATGCCAGAACGTAATTCATTACATTACAAGGCCCTTCAGCTCCAGTCAATAGTCATTCGATTTCAGCCTGGAATGTACCTACCAAACACACATAAGCCCCATGGAAGTGTTCTTCACAATGGAAAGCATTGGCTGAAGCTTCATGTTTACCCTTTCAAGTCATGTAAACCTGAGAATAAATCCACCTGGTGCCCTATCTTCAATGGGGTCATAAAACCCCCTCCCTTCTATTTGCAAACAGTTTAGTGGCTACCAAAGAGCAGTCACCAATAAACGTACTCCCAACAGAGATTAATTCCTGATGAATCACTGAGAAAGATTAAATCAGCATTAAGGAAAATGCCAGGCACTGAAAAGTGAGATCTTTCTGTAGTAATTTATTGCAGCCTTCTGGTCTGAGGTTAACTAGAATTGGACAAAAGAAGATCTGAGACAATGTGAAAAGTAAAGTGAAAGGCCATAAAAATGGAGAAAGTCAATAATATGGAACAACAAGATAGCCAGGGAATCAGGAAAGATAACAACAAAGTGGCCAAACAAAGTATACATTTAGGTAGTAACCTGGGAATGGGCAGAAAGGAATAAAACTCAGCTCTATGTAAAGTCAGCTCTGAATAAGCCATTTGAAAAGAGCTGAACACTATCCTGTCTTTTTTTTTTATTAATAGCAAATTGAACTTAAAGTAAAACACATTTATTATCAAGTATAAGAATATAATATCTTTAACAACCCATTTATTTTGCCTCAAAATATCCTACAGGAGTTTCCTATGATTTGTAAATCCATACACTAAAATAAGCAGTTGCTAAGTGTTCCTTACTGGAAGTTCTGCCTATAAACAGCACCAGAATGGCAATTCTTCCAGCTGTGCAGCACACTGGCATCGTTGAAGGTACTTCTGATGTGAGAGAAACCCAAGATGAGCACTATTATGATGATATGATGAACCCTCAGGCATCTACTCTGTAATAGAATATATAGAATCATAGAATAGTTATGGTTGGAAAGGACCTTAAGATCATCCAGTTCCAGCCCCCTGCCATGGGCAGGGACACCTCACACTAAACCATGTCACCCAAGGCTCTGTCCAGCCTGGCCTTGAGCACTGCCAGGAGTGGAGCATTCACAACCTCCCTGGGCAACCCATTCCAGTGCCTCACCACCCTTACAGTAAAGAACTTCCCCTGATATCCAATCTAAACTTCCCCTGTTTAAGTTTTAACCTTGTCCTATCACTATGTAATAAACAACCAACAAGTTGGACTGAGGCTGGTGGAAGGTTAGATCCTCCTTCTTGTGCCTCAAGAGACAGGGGAGCAGGAAGATGAACTCTGCATCGCGGCTTCTCTCTGGAGACAAGATCAGCCCAGGCTGGCACTCTGTGCCAGAGAGAGTAGTGAGTAATAAGGATCCGCAGCAGATGGGTGATTTGCTGCATTATGGAGAATGGAGGATGGAGTGTGAGGGCACACAGCTTTCTCTAGGCTACGGTCTCCTGGTTTGAGGGAATGAAAATGTATCCAAGGAAGCTGACGTTAAAAGAAGAAAGGCCTTCCTCCTAAATTCTTATGGGAAAGCACAGCTTCTTATTAGGCTACAGCCTGGAGGCAAACGTTTTGACCTGACTTAGCCATAACCAGAGCTAGGTACGAAGGTCTTTTGTCTCCCCACCCAAACTTCAGAAATGCCACCTTTAATAAACCATAAGGAATGTAAAACAGCACAGATTTGAATGAAAAACAAAACCGACTGTTGCCCTAGTCCAACAGCCTTGAGCTAAACATTTTACTTAAGACAACAGAATTACACTTCTTGATCTTACTATTTAAGCAGAATCAAACTTTTTCAAAGTATAAATAAATAAATAAATAAATAGCAAATGCAAACTAAATATAAGGGGGAAAATGACCCAGCAGAAGAGTGTCATCCCCATGTTGGTCAAGCCCCACGAGCAGAGCTCTGGGCCTTTCTGGCCAAAGCATTTCCATGAGCAAACCTCAGAGCCTCCCCATTGTGCTGCACCACTATAAACTGAATTGTTGGCTAACGACCTAATATAATGTGGTGTTTGCAAAGCCACTGAGACTTGGCTTTACTCCACTCCTTTGACATCAGTAAGAGTCTGACAATTAAATTCAACGCAAGAAAAGGTAAACTATGGAGCCCAGGTTTTTTTTCCAGCATGCTCTCTTAAATAAGGCTTGCTAACACTGTTATAGGACGTTGTTTGCTGGAACAGTTACAGTGACATGCTTGTATTCTTTGTTATGAATTGACCATAATGATGAACACATCTGTCTTCAGCAAGGAATGTTATTTAAGGATTGGAGAACGATGCCTTTTGCTTGAAGCATTTGCTCAAATAACATGTTTTTCTCTGAGTTTTTCTTTCTGTTTTTAATAAGGCAAGGCAAGACCAGAGAGGGAGAGAGGGAGAAAAAGGCAGAAGAGGAGGGAGAGAGGAGGGAGAGAAAGAGAGAAGAAGAAGGGAGGAAAGGGAGGGAGGGATGGAGGAGGAGGAGGAAAGAAGGGAAACAAGATAATGAAGTGAAAGAATGAAGAAAGAAGAAAGAAGAAGAAAGAAAGAAGGAAAAGAAAAGAAGGCAAACAAGGCAAATAAAGGAGAGGAGAGGAGAGGAGAGGAGAGGAGAGGAGAGGAGAGGAGAGGAGAGGAGAGGAGAGGAGAGGAGAGGAGAGTAGAGGAGAGGAGAGGAGAGGAGAGGGGAAAGGGGAAAAGAAAGGGGAAAGGGGAAAGGAAAGGGGAAAGGAATGGGGAAAGGAAAGAGGGGAAAGGAAAAGGGAAAGGAAAGAGGGGAAAGGAAAGGGGAAAGGAAAGAGGGGAAAGGAAAGGGGAAAGGGGAAAGGAAAGGGGAAAGGAAAGAGGGGAAAGGAAAGGGGAAAGGAAAGAGGGGAAAGGAAAGGGGAAAGGAAAGAGGGGAAAGGAAAGGGAAAAGGAAAGAGGGGAAAGGAAAGGGGAAAGGAAAGAGGGGAAAGGAAAGGGGAAAGGGGAAAGGAAAGGGGAAAGGAAAGAGGGGAAAGGAAAGGGGAAAGGAAAGAGGGGAAAGGAAAGGGGAAAGGAAAGGGGAAAGGAAAGAGGGGAAAGGAAAGGGGAAAGGAAAGAGGGGAAAGGAAAGGGGAAAGGAAAGGGGGGAAAGGGAAGGGGAAGGGAAGGGAAAGGAAAGGAAAGGAAAGGAAAGGAAAGGAAAGGAAAGGAAAGGAAAGGAAAGGAAAGGGGAAAGGAAAGGGAAAGGGAAAGGAAAGGGAAAGGGAAAGGGAAAGGGAAAGGGAAAGGGAAAGGGAAAGGGAAAGGGAAAGGGAAAGGGAAAGGAAAGAAAGAGGAAAGGAGGCAAGCAAAGCAAGCAGCTGGTGCTGAAAGTGAGCAAGACTCTCATTTTCTTCTGTCTTTTAATAAATCATTGTAGCAGCTTTGTGACAAGTCTCTGTTATCCATAATGCCCAAGCAAACAGCTTTTCTTTCAGCCTCTATTCAGCTGGCTGCCAGGGAAGCAGGACTGCAGGCAGGAAACTTCAGTGGCTCAGCCTGCTCCCCTGTAATTCAATTAGAAAAGCAAGCATGAAGTCAATATTCATTGCGCCAGGCCAGGACTGCACAGCACAATGAAATGATAATGAGAAAGTTCACAAAGGAGACGGGCTTAATGATAAGTTTTTAAAGAGGTGCTGCAGCGGGTGACCCTCTGTACAACTGGCAAACACACACGGGCATATGGGACTTTGCCCTCAGGGATTTACTCTCATCCCTCACCATCTGTATCCAGGGCAGACGGCTGATTGTGAATCCAAGGGAATCTCATGATATACTGTCTTAGGTCACCCTATTCAGCTATTTTGCATCTCTGAAGAGAAAGAAGACACGTTTCTTAAACACCCAGGCCTCAAGGGAACACATACAACTCGCTGGATCATAGGCAATGCAGTTTCAAATGGTGTGGAACTATGACTCCCGAGCTCAGCAGGGAGGTGGGGCCTGTGGGACACAAAATCATGAGAGAGAACTTCCAACACTTCATGGAAGCATAGAAGGAGAAGAACTGCACCCTTGTGCTTTCAGAGCAAGGCAGCACTTGGTCCCTTCAACCGTGAGAACTTAAAGCGTTTGTGTTTTAAACTGGATAAATGCTGGACCCAATTCTGCAGCTCCCTCTCCAAGAGATCTCCCACTGGAGAAGGTCTTTCTATGATTTCCTTTCTTCTTTTAGCACTTTACTGGTGACAATGAAATCTGTAGTCATTTATTTTGCAAACATCATTGTATTTCGTTTTAAAAATAAGGAATGATTGAAGTAGTAATTAAAACAACAGCATTGTGTGTACAAGCCCAGGGTTGCCTTGTTCTAATTTTGTTTTGGGATTCTACATTCCAGATATGACAGAATTTGTTCTTCTTTAAAATGACTTCTATGCTAAAGCCCTGGCTTTCTCACAAAGAGACTCAGACCCCATTCTTTTTGGCACAGTACAGAAAGAACAAATGGCCCCAACTCCAAGCAGGCAAACATGAGAAACAGAAAGTTTTCCTTTTCTTTTCCTTTCACAAAGGGGAAACAGGGCACACAAAGCTTATGTAAGATCCCTGAGGTCACACAGGGTGTCACTGAGAGTCACAAATTGAATTCAGATTCTCAGGCTCTCTGTCCCAATTCCTGTCATATTGCTGTTCAGGACACTCCAAAGCTGTAACATCATTTTCATAGATACATGTAATTCCCCATAATTCATCTCTCAGCTGAACTAGTATTAACATTCCACATATCCCCATCCTCACTAATGACTGCTTAATATGCTGCTAAATAATTAATACAAGTCAACAGCTCTGTATTCTCTCAAAATCAGGAGGTATTTTTCAACACAGCTCATGACAACAGCCCATTTTTTACTTCAGAGCCCAAAGAAAAGGAAGTCAATTTTGCCATTCTTCCTGATTCAAAAAGCTTTCAACTGCTAATAATAGAAGTGGGTGGTGAATTGCTTCATCTGCAGTAGGAAGCTCTTCATGTCCTATTGGGCCAGTTCTTCAGCTGCTAGAAACCCACACAGCTTCACTAGAGGCAATTCTGCTTTGTCAAGTCACGCAAGCCAAAGGCAGATGTATTTGTGTTTCACTGCCCACTGAATCACGTAAGACAGACCCAATCTCTGCATCTCAAAGGGAGGATGAAGCACTGCTGACAACCGGAGCTATACTCAGGGATATAATTGGTAGAACAGGCTGGCTGGATCCCTCTTCTCCAGAAACCCTCTGTGGGGAAAAGCAGAGACAAACCACCAGCAACTGCAAGGCTGTCCAAACAAGCCATGCCAATATCCTGGACTAACCCACCCATCTGGAACTTAACACAGGATAACAGCAAAGCATCTCAGAACTAGCTGCTTTCTTCCAACACTGATCAAGAGAAGTTATGTGCAAAAAGGGAAGAGCCACACTTGTTGCTGCTTCTGCAGATCACAGTTTTCAACAGCTTTCTTGCCCTAACTGCAATATATTGACTTCTGCCATTATTTTGAAGGGTTACAGACCCTTGCAGGACATAAACCCCTTCTTGTTGCAGAAGGGATTAGATGCTGAACTGATGTACATATATACCTACACTGAATTATGCCAGCAAAGGGCCAGATCCCAGGATTTTTCCTTTAGGTAAATTAATCTCCAGCGCAACTCACTAAGAGACTGGAGAAAAAGGGGTAGGATCCACATCTTCCATATGTGCTTGTGCTTTTTCTGACTATTACATAAAAGGCCAGATAAGATAAGAAGTACTAGTCACTTTAGATGTCAATACAGAACATAATTATACCCCCTCTATCCTTTCACAGTACATAAACCTCAGTTTTCACAACTAAATTCAAATGTTGGGTACTCTCCAAAGGCCCATTATGTAAAACGGAGTCCTCACTGCTCAAAACGACGAGAGGTCAAATATCTCTGTGTAACTGTGTAACTCCTGCCTGCATGGAGCTGTCAGAAGTGATCACAATAACTTCCCCTTTCTTATTTTAGAGGCAGCACTCTCACTCTTATGTAACGAAGGCAAAATCTGTTGAGGTCAGGGATTCAGAGGCACCAGCTTCACCCACTAGACAGCCTTTGCCTCTTAGTGACAGCCCCTGGGAAGTTCACAAGACACCGCAGGTATCTATCTCCCTTTAGTTATCACTCTTCCATGTCAGACCCCGCTATCCTGTTTTATTCACTATGCTTTGATGGGAGATGTTGTCTGCACAATATCCTCAGCTGAGAATTGGTTTTTCTCGGAGACATTAATGCATGTAATTGGCACGTGCTTTTCTGGAGTATTTCTATCACCTTTCAAAGATAGAGACAATCAAATCTCTCCTCCACTCATCAAGAAAATGCTTAAAGCATCAAGCGGGGAATTCCAGGCTGGCTTATAGCTGGTACTTACATTTTCTCAAGCAGCAAGGTAACATGGGATGAGGACTGTCACGGTGTTTATTTTGAGTTCCCTAGTGAGAAAAACATTTTACACTTACCCTGTGTGGTTGAAACCTTCCTCCCCTCCTGTGGAAGTCAGGTTATCTCTGCTGTTCATATACAGCTGCTGTTACTTGCCTTGACCCATCTCCATTGAGCAGACATTTCAGAGAAGCACTAAAGTCAGTTATCCTCAGTTAGGCTCTAACCTTCACAAGGGTGAGGTAAAATAGAGCTCTTGTCTCTAGCTAGGTTATAGTGCTCATTAGAGATGAGCTCAAAGCTCGTAAGTTCACTTCAAAGAAAAGAAAAGTGCTAGGAAAAGACAAGAGCCCTTCGCAAAGTTCTGCATCTCTAATTGCTGCCATGCTGTTCTGAGTCCTGAACTAGGCCTTTTCAACATGGAAGAACTGAGAAATACACACTCAAAAGTAATTAAGAGATTAGTCTGACCAGGGTTGATTTTCAAACACTGACTTAAGACTGCTTCGTATCAATGGGCAGATGGAGCTATGGGCTCTCTTTCAAGAATAAATGAGAGATGGTAACACTTTTCTCCCAGTCTTTGTTTTGACTGTCAGTGTTTAGAGGCAGACATGTTTCATTTGGTCAGAAAGGAGCTTGCACAACACCCTCTCACCTTCTGGCTGATCGCGGTGTTGTGATAGACCTTTCATTTGTGTGCTACAGAACACTCCCAGATGACAAGGAATGAGATGCGCCTCCATGCTCCATGCTTCCAGCAAAAAGGGGTGATCTGGAGGTGGAGACACAGATGATCTAGATACAGGTTATAGTCAAAGACCAACAAAACTGCATGCTGAATTCAATCCAGCAGAAAAATTACAGGAACACAGAATGGAGAGCCTATTTATGTTATTAATAATAAAGGTACTGCAACCAGTGAGCCCAGAGCTATGCAATTACAAGGAGACATGGAGTGTACACAATCAGGAATCCTTATCAGATTGTTTGGTCTATCTTTTCCATTTAAAAGTGGTGTTTAAACTATGTTTATAGACAAAAGAACTGATCAATGAACCTGTCATTTGGTCATGAGTAACATGGAAAAATAAATCAGGTGATGAAAATATTGCTGTTTCTCCATTTGGGGGATAAATGGAAGAGGTTTCAAAAAGATTTTGTCAGAGCTCTGGGGCCATGTGCATCAGCAAAGTCAGATGTTTCATCTTTGAAAATTTCCCACAAGAAAACATCTCCAAAAATATTCAGAAATGAGATTTTCCAAAGGTAAAAGAGCTGGAAAAACCCAAACCAGAGATTTACTATTATTTAAGCTCTTCAGCTGCTCCCTAAGAAAATAAACTTGGAGTTAAACAAAAACTTCACTGTTTTCCTACAAAATAAATAACAGTAACATTATACCCACTAAACAGGAATCAGCTGTATAAACAGTTTACCTGCCTCTGACAGCATCAACTATAGAGAGAATTTCTGGGCAACTATGTTCAAAGAAGGAATAACCCAGATTATGGTAACTCAGGGCATAATAACTATGAAGTAGCAAGTAGGAGGCAAAAATACATGAAAACTTCATCATCTTGACTAAACATCTTCAAATCTTATACTTGAAAAAGGTGACAGTTACCATGCTCTTCTGCTTGTCACTTTAAGCTTGCCCAATAGTTGCCATCATAATCCCTTGATTCAAACTTTTAACTGTCGTTATCCCTTTAATTGCAGTTCATTCATTTCTGAAACTTGGGTGCCTGATTTTCCACGTTCATTCCCTTCACCCATAAATAGACAGACAGTATATGCGATTTGAAAGTATCTTGCAGCTCAGAAATAAACCCCTATTTTTCCATCATGTAGTCCCCCTGGATACTTTGATTAATTTCAATGAACTAAACCTAAAGAGCCCCCAGGCCTCACATGTTCCAAGCAAGGGAAGAAGAAACCCAAAAAATCAATCCCTTTCACAGTATCAGTCTCTGCAAACTTTAGAGATCAAATGACCTACAGTTGTGAACACTAAGATATTGGAGCCTTTGAAATATGTCCACATGGCAGAAACCTTATCCCCCCCATAGTCTCATCCTTCTCACCCGCTCAGCACATGTAAACCTTTTGGTATAGCTTATTTTAGTTGTTCCCACTATATAGAACAGAAAAATGCATGCTGTTGTGGAACAGAGGCATGTGTAATATTTTGTGTGCTCAAGAGCCCAGAAATAGATTGTAGGCTGCATGTGTATTACAGGCTTGTGTCAACATAGCTAAATCCATCAGGTGCATGAAGAGAAATGATCCTGATGGGTACAGCTGGGATTCAGAAGCTGCCTCTACGGCCTTATTTATAGCAGATAAATTGACCATGTTCTAGTTCAGCTCTTGACAAAAGGGTATATAACAGAGCTTTGCTAATGGGGCTGCATCCACAGTATCAGCTGCACAGCATATGATATTTGCAATGGATACAAATCACCCAGTACAAATCTGGCATGAGATTGAGGGATAGAAGTTGGATGTGGAGGGATTACATCCAGCACTTTCTAAGGCAGTACTCTCTGAAGGATGAAAAGGGCTTGACTCTACCTTGCCTCAGATTTTGTGCTGTCATCCTCATCAAAGCAATCAAGATGAAAAACCTTTTCTCTTCAGTCTTGGATACTGGTACATTTCACACTACTTTGTGAACAGGTTTGTTTAGTAACCAAGTGCCTTGAAATAACAAACCTGAATCCTCTCATGCAATTTCAGCTTTATCATGCCTGTAGTCACTTTTCCTCTAGAGGATTTGCAATAAGAACTGAATGCTGAATTCCTCTTTGTGCTTCTTTGGACCTGATCCTCAGCTGGTACAAACTTAACACCCACAGATATCACAAAATCTTCCCACATTTACACCAGCTGAAGATCCAGCCATTGTTTGCCAATGAGGGTGTTACTCTACAGTAACACTGTTTCTGGTCCAAGTTATTCCTAACACTATTGTAATTTACAACACTATCAGGCTCAACGGGGAAAGAGTAACCACCAGCAACAAACCTTCTCTGATTCTCTAGAATATGTGCAAGTAGCTAATATATAATCAAAAGTTAAAAATCTAGGGATGTGTCCATAGAGATATCCTATAATTACCTTGCTGCTTTGGGACAGATTTCATTGTTCACTTCCCTCAGATGCTCTCCTGCCTCCTACCTCACACCCTGAGCACTGTCAGTTTGCTGTCAGCTTTACAGTATCAAGCGTGTGATCTCTCCGTTGGTACCCTGTTCAGTGTCATTTAAGCTGGGCAGTCTGCAAGGCCACCAAGGTCAAGGAACTATCAGGAGTAAGGTTTCTTAAGTGCAACGTGTGAGACACCATCTGACACTGTTTATAGATAGACTTAGCCTCTTATTGACCACAGGATAGAAGTTAAAAGCATTGCTTTGGGAGTTCAAATGTGTTAACCTCTGAAGTGATGTTTGAATTAGGGTTATAAAGGGCCTAAAGTTTTGATCAGAGGCTTGGAGAATAAAAAGGATTTGGAAAAATTTTAGAGCGGGATCAGAGTAGCTCCTCTGAGTGTGCCAACTACTATATTATTGTTGATTTCATTGAGTCCATCTATCAGGTCTGTGCATTATGTGATCCAGTTCCAAAGATGTTTCCCTGCTGCAGCTGACAAAATACAGACTATACACTTCAAATGCAGTCGTCGGTCTTTAAAACAGGCAGTTACAAAACATGCTGGCTGCTCTGGCAATCAATAATGGGAAGGGCAGTGTTTGTTGGACTAACTCCCAAACAATTAGATACTTGCCAGTGTAAAGTAAAAAATGACACAAGACCACGCCAAAAGCTTGTTCACTGTTTGGCAACTCGTAGCATTACAAACACTGAGGGTTTAATAATCCGGCAATATTAACAAAGCTGGAACAGTTAAAACAGTTTCTGATGAATACACAGCAGAGGTAACAAATACACCTCCCCTGAATTGTATCTACATGACTCCTGGAATTCCTGATGCAGTTTTCCTGGAAGTTGACTCACAGAGGAGGAGGAGGAGGTTAGATACCTGTCATGAGTTGCATACACAAACTATAAGACAGCACAGCAGCTTCAGGGAAGGAAGCAATGCTTCTTACCCAGAAAGGAGGCAACTAGCAGGCTTAAATGTTTGAGAATACCAGACCTGCAACCTGAAGACTGAGAATGAACAATTCATCTCAGCCCTGAGGACAAGCGAAGGGAAGTCCTTCTTTAAGGTCCCTTCCAATCCAAGCCACTCTATGACTCTATGAAAGTGCCATGTAAGGGTGCAGCATGGGCCAGTTACTCCCTAAGGGTCCAGGAGCTGAGCATGATGACACAGCCAGGGACAGGACAGTAAGGTGAGCAGGGCAGCTCTAGGGTGACATTCTGGGGGCAGCCCTGGGCCTGGATCACCAGCCAAGCTCACTGAGAACTGCAGCCAGGCCAGGCCCTTAGACTGCAGGTTTCCACATATGTGATCTGCCTTGTCAATACAGAACAGAGTAAAAAGAGCACAAAAACTGCAGAGGAAAGGTTCGTGCTATGTGTATTTCCAGTGGCTATCTTAAAAAGTAAGGACTTCCTTTTACTGCTCCACAGTCTTGCAATATGTTACCCCTCTGCATTAAAATAATAAGGCTTGGGCAACCACACTTTGATTTAGGGGTGGAAGGAGGGAGTCACTCAGGGGCTTAGAGACAACATCCGCTTTGCTGTTAATGTCTTATTGTCATGTAACATGCCCGTACATGGCCATTTCCCTCAAACTCTCCATTCAGACAAGGGCTGGGCATAGCCCTGCTCTATTCCAGGAAGGACTGAGAGGGATCTGCAGCCAAACTAGAGAGATGATGCCTCAGAGGTGTCATGGTGTCAATCAGTGGTTATTATTCAAGTGGACAGAAACGGAGATATTAACTGGCATAACAGAATAGTCCTGAGTAGAAACAGAACTTCTCTGGGCTTGTGCTAACAGCTACAGCCTTGTTGCAAATCTCCTCAGTCTTTAAAAGTGTGGGAACCATGGTAGATTTCAGTATTATTTCTCTGAAATATAACAGGAAATGCTACGTACTCAGCTATTCTTGCTGCTTGCTATCACGGTGTACCCTGTCTACAGTGATGTTACAGCATATAATGGCCCTGTAACTCACTTTTTCTATCTCCATCAATTATCTGGGATAATATTCTCTTTATAACCTCACCTGGACTTAACCTTCAAGGA